AAACAAAATATTCATTAAATAAGTTAGCAATTTTTTCATGATCAGAAACAAGAAGTCCATTTACTGAGATTTGTGAATTGTTATTAAATGTTTTATTTTMAACACAAGTTATGCAGTTTCATTAAAATGTGCCCAGTGATCTGTGGGATATTTTGCTAACAGACAGCTGTTTAAAGCAAAGTTTTAAAAACAGAATTAGTCTTGAATGGAGTTCAAAGCAGCCCTCCTGACAGGGGCCGTGAATGTTGTGAATGCGGCTCTGGAAGTCATGAATAATGTGTTGATGTGAGCGCAGGAAGGTGATGTCTCTTTAAGAGGCTCAGCCCTCTGCAGAAACAAACGTACAACCCCCCAACAAGTCATCGGACCTGTCAATCAACCGGTCGGCGCCCTTTGATGTCGGGACTCCTCGCCTTGTCTTGGGCTCAAATGAGCTGTTTGCTGTTGTAGTGAAACATTAGTGTTCTACCAAGCAGCCAGCCGGGGGGAAACACGCCACATCTCAACTTTTCTCTCTATGTGGTGGGGCTTTCTCTACTTTGGAGGCGCCTCAAAGTGAGGATATTCACCAGGGAAGTCACTTCTTTTGAATTTCTTTTGAACTTTATTTATTTTTTTCTCACGTAAAAGCAAAAGGTGCAGAGGTTGTTGTGGGGGGGTGAAAGTAGCAGTAGACATGCCTCAGCTCAGCAGCGGCGGAGGAGACGACCTGGGAGCGAATGATGAGATGATATCGTTCAAAGACGAAGGGGAGCAGGAGGAGAAAATCCAGGAGAACGCGTTCACGGAGAGGGACCTGGCCGACCTGAAGTCCTCCCTGGTGAACGAGTCGGAAATAAGCCAGAGAGAGGTGGGTGGCATGGGCTGTGTGAGAGCTTGTTTTTAGGGGAGAAATGCGCATTTTTTGTGTGAAATTCCCACTGAACGAGACGTGCCGACAGATGAACGCTCAAGTGTATCAACTCAAACTAAACTTTCTCCCTGTTGTTGGTRTGGATTTCTATTTTTCTTCTAAGCTTTAGTCTTACCTCTGTCCGTGTTTTTGTCTCTCCCAGGCGGTCAGACGGGGACAGCAGGGCGAGCACAGGGTCTTCCCGGACAAACACCGAGAGCATCTCGACGGAGGTTAGACCAAAACTCAAAAAAGAAAAAGAAAAAACACTCCCACTTGCTCTCATCCCATCTGAATGACCACTACTCTGAGAAAATTATAAAAACAAAACACCCACCGTAAATAAAAAAAGTTATTTTAGTGCTGAAGCTATACAGGCTTTAAAGATGTCCATCACTCAAATATACACTTCCAGTAAGAAAAAAACACTAACAAAGTTAATACCAGTCATATAAAGTTTGTTCAAAGAAATAAAAATTWGTATTTTATTAAAAACAGAGAAACATTGACGTGATATTTGTGTTTAAAATACATTCATAGTAGTTTTCCGATGAGCACGAACACTTTTATCTGTTTTTCTTGTGTTTACCACCCAAAAAGAACAGAGTAACTTCCCTCCTGTAGGCACATTTTGAAACTGTATACTTCACTTGGCAGCTTTAATTATAGGTTGTAGTTGGTTGAGAAACTCATTTCAGTCCATTAAAAGTGGAGGGAAATAACCTTATTATCTTTTGAACAAAACCTTCCACCTTGTCCGCGTTTGCTCTTCTTTTATATTTTATTTGCAATTATAAACATGCAGAAATACATGGTTATCCCCTCCCAAACTGTTGTTGATTGAATTACTTCTGATCCTGGCAACATTAAAAGTGATCTTGAACTTTATAAAAGCTCAAAACGGTGTTCGTCTATTAGTTTCAGCAGCAGGTCTTTATATCTGACCCGCAGAGAGATCTCAGGCTTTATATGGGTGGTGGTGAAAATAAACACTCCTGAAGTTCACGCCTCTCRGGGCTATAGGTGACAACTGTGTGTTGATTTTTTTTTTCTCTCCTCAAAGTATTATATCAAGTCTTTGCTCAAACGAGGATATAAACATGATGCAACGACTCGGTAATAGTTCACCTGCTTTGCACGTGTGTTTGATTCGGATGTCTGCTTTTTCTTTTTGTTGAACCTTTTAATCGTGTTGTGTGAGTAAGTACGTGTTTTATTTAAAACCTTTTAAATCTTAAAGCCCTTTTCATTAATTTTACAACTTTTATTTTTAACCGAAAGTTCATTTTAAGCGATTCTACCCTCGTGTTTAGGTTAAAACTTCAGTTTTAACTCCTGTTTTCTAATTCTGTTTGCTTTTTCCACACTTGATTTCAGTGTCGAAGCAGCAAGATGGAGGCATGTACAAGACGCCGGCGTATCCGAGCTACCCATTCCTGATGCTGCCAGACCCTTATCTCCCCAACAGCTCAGTCTCTCCATCTGTAAGTCCAGTTCTGGTCTCGTTTTTTTTTTTTACTTCTGGATGCTGTGAAACACTCACTGCTTTACTCTTTGTGGTTCTTCGTGTCAGTGACTGAGCAGTCGTGCCTGCTCATCTCACAAGCTCCACTTTAATTAATTATTTTTTATTTCAACTCACATGTTGTGCTTTTACATTGAGATAATATAGAGTTTTGTTATATCTTATTAAAAGGGATAATAATGCGAGAGGAAATATGGAAAAAACATTCATTCAAATGGAAATATTTTGAGGATTTTATTTATTTATTTTGTAAGTTAAAGCCTATACATTTATATTTATTTCAATAAGTCCAAACATGGATTTGAATATTGAGTGTTTGTTTTATTTTATTTTATTTTTTGCTATTTTTAAGACAGTTTATTTTGTGTGTTTTTATTTTTTTAAGATTTCAAATGCATTTATTGCATGCTGTGCAGAAAATTGGCCTGAAATCAGTGAGTTTTTCCTCCCCATAAGATCAGATCACTGCACACTGCTCTGCCGCCGCAACCAAGAAACAACATTATACAGAATTTTTAACGCATCTCATTTCATGTGGTGTTGTCTTCAATTATTTAAAGTTCGCTGTATATACGTTTAAAAGATATGCACAGGCTAATAATTAGAAATACTTTCAAATACATTTTAGCTTTTTTAAAATTAAAGCAGAGCTGGTTGACGTGTTTAATGCACAAACTAATCTGCTTTGGTTAAATTACGGCTGATCTGAGACCAGAGGAGGCAAAAGATTTGACTCCGTCACACAGAGGCGACTGTCGTCTTCCTGCGAATCCGTGACAAAACGTCACATGTTCTGACTTGTGCTGTTGAAAAACTCTCAAAAACAAAGTCAAATCTTTTCAACGTGCTTCACTTTTATAAAACKTACAGAGCTTATATTTGCTTAGGAAATTGTTAAAGTTGAAATATTTAGTTATTCTGAATGATGTTTTTCCATCTCTTCATACAGAGCATGAAGAGTTTAGTCTCAGCCTTTATAGTAAATCAGCTAAAGTAGTAATCCATCTGATCTGACACCCCTAAAAATATAACTATTTTCCTTAAGTCACCTGTAAGCAGCACCAAAGACCAGCAGTTGTACTTAATTTATAGTTTTCATGCTGCATAATCCTATTGTCTGATTTAACTCACAGCTCAAACGGTTTATAAACCGCTTTCATTTAAGAAATAAGAAATAAAAAACCTGCTGTAGTTTAAATTAAAATTTTTGGTCATTAAATGCGACACTTTGAATATTCTGAGCAGTTAAATGTTAAACTTTTGYCTAGAAAATACACTATGAATCAAGTTTATTTAACTTTCCTTTAAAAATATGTTATTTTAAAGTATTTTGATACCTTGCATGTTTGTGTGTTTAAATACATTTGCTAGTTGTTTTTTTTAACCACCCTCCATGTTGGCACGTTTTAAAAATATCTTGCTAGTGASGGGCTAACAAAAATCAGTCTTCGCAGAATGTTCTATAAAATCGTTTCTTGATATTATTTTATTTTCCTCGAATAATTTAAAAATTAGTTTTCAAGTACCAGCTTGTGATTAATTTCTTTGAATTATTGCAGTAAAAGTTCAATCTTGTCAGCTTGTTTCTTTCTCACTTCAGTATACTTTTTGTTTCTGCAAGTTTTGATTCAAAGCTGTTGGAGTTCCTTGTAGAGAAACTAAAAAGKTCAGGTTCTTAGAAAGAAAATCCTTAAATTATAACTCTTGTTTACAAGTTTTCCTGTCAGACTTGTTTGTTCTGAGACAAGTGCACAGCAGTAAATCACGTTTTCTCAGAATCAGTTATTCAGACCCTAACTCTGTGATTGAGGGGATATAATTGATTAAAATATGCGAGTGCGTGCTCCCGTCTCCCTGAATATGCTCGTCGATGCTTAAAACTTCACATCTGGCATCGTGTTTGACAAACGCCGTGAGCGAGCGTGATGGTGTTTGTAGACTACACGAGGATTTGCTCTCCTCTTTTTCTTCTTCACTCCGTTCAACCCTGGAGTGCCAACCGCAGAAACCTCTCAGAGATCGTTCATGTTTGGAGGGAGAAACGTGGAGGTGAGGGTGGTGG